AGCCCACTCTGAGGGTGACCATGCCCCTGCATTTCCCGCCAGCTCCGTGGCCCTGAATAAGAATGTCACAGGCTATCTTTTTCAAGTGCTTTTGGAAATCAAACAATACATCTTTATCTTTTCTTCCTATCAAGTAGTCCATGAGCAAAGATTTGGAACAAAACCTTGTATCATACAAATCAGAGTGAATTGTGCTTTCTTTCTGAACTTGATTAAAAAAATAATAATAAACCATGAACTGTACCATATGGTGAAAGAAGCCCAGTGGAGCAGTTTCAATCCAAATTAAACTTGTGGCTGTTTTTGTTTTTTTAAGTGTGCTGTGTAACTACCTTTAGTTGTATCTTTTCCTTTTGATTACAAAAGTAATAAATACTTCTAAAAGGTAAAACACTACAGAAATAGATTATCTGGCAAGTTGAGTACTCCCTAATTCCACCTTCTCCCAATTTCAGGAGGTAACTACTCTTAAATGGTGAGTATTCCTCCAAATACATCCTTCTCGTATTTCATAGTATATGTGTGCATTTTTATATAAATGGGATCTATTAAGCTTTCCATATTATTTGGCAATTTGTCTTTTTAATATAGTAGTTATCTTGACTATCTCTCTGTATGTGCTACTTTTAAACCATGGGAATAAGCAAAAACCAGAAAATAAAATGTTCTCTGGGCCTGAAGTCTTTCTGTTTAAGTCTCTGAGAATACAGAAGAAGTTAGAGAAAGAACCCTTAAAGACCGATGTGGATTATTGAAAAGAACTGGGATACAGATATAAAGGGAAGAAGGGGGAAAGGAAAATTACATAGTTCATATCTTTTGGCTTCTCTCAGAGTGGACGATGTTGTGAAGTCGATGTACCCTCCATTGGACCCGAAGCTCCTGGATGCACGGTGAGAGGGTTGGGGTGTCCACTCATTTTTTTTCATACTGGAGGCTCCCCATTTTATTGGGTCTGTGAGTGTGGCTGAATGGACTGCTTCGAGAAGCCTGATTGCTGGGTTCCCAAGGTTGCCCTGGGTATTGGGCACATTCAGCTCGGTGTGAATGGTTGGCCAGCCAGGGAGCCAAGCCTGGCTGGGAAATGGAGGCCAGTCCTCTTCCTGAAACTTGTGAGAAGAAAGAGCATCTTAGATTTTGGATTTTTATGATTAAACATTGGCCATGCTGAGTCTTGCTGCCTTCACTCCCTCCCATTTCCCCCATGGCTCCCTCTGTTCTGTGCACCCCTGGCGCTGACACACCTTAGCTGTAATCCTGCCTAGAGGGGCAGTGGGGCCAGTGATGAGCAGACCCATGAGAGTGGAGGTGATATGTCAGCCACAGTTGCCCCCAGGAGACCTTCTCTAGTGACCCTCCCTTAGGACAGAGTATATGTACCTGCCTCATGAAATTGTTATGTTCCTGGGCCAGGCATAAGCCTACTTTGCAAAAAAAAAAAAGATTCTTCCCTTTCTGGAAGTTGTTTGGCAGCTTTGTAGACCTGCCATACAGAGGTGGCTGGGTTTCTCTGCCCCACACATCCCAGCTTTGCCCATGGTTTAATAATCTGTAATGTATTCCCAAAGGCATCACACATACTCACAGTATAAAAGGTGTCCTAAGATGAGTCTTTCAGTATTGAAAAAAGTTCCCAAAGTTTGATTTTTTTTTTTTGAGAGGTTTTTGCTATAGGACATGTGCGCTTGCCAGACAGACAGAGAGAGACAGAGAGACAGAAAGCGAGAAATCACCCCCTAGAGGGGATGGCCACGCCCCAATCCCTTCTCCTCCATTCTCCTCTCGGGATCTTGGGCACGCACACACACGTGCCCGGCGTGAGTTTTAAACCACCGGGTCCAGGAAGGGAACCGCGGTCGACTATGTGGGAGTCCAGTGACATAGCCATTATGCTAACTGCTGGTCCCCCCAAAATTTGATTTTCAATTCCATTTATTTTTAAAGAGTTGGATAAACCAGCCCTGGACCCTATTGATTTATAATCAGTAAGGGATGCTCAAGGTAAGGGTTTGCAACTCCTATCTTTTTTTTTTTTTTTTGGTCAGAGGGCATTTTGGCACCAGAGAGAAAAAGAGAGAGGAAGAGTAAGCAACCCCCCTGGGATGTGGTCACATCACAGTTCCTTCTCTCCATTTTTCCTGCTTTTGGGGTTTTGGGCACATACACATATGCCTGGTGTGCTTTTCAGGCTGTGGGGTTTGGGACTTGAACCATGCAGCTGGCCATGTGGGATCCAGCTCCCTTAACTGCCAGACCCCAGCTGGCTCTAGTATATCCTGTCTTTAAGAGGACAGCTGTTGGGGACGTGCCAGTTAACCATGTGTGAACTGTGGCACAAAATGTTCTTCTGGGGGATGTTAATAGGTAGTTGCAGAAAATGGCTTCCATAATCTTAAATATGTTTGTGAAACATAGCATATTATATCTTCCCCTGGGAGCTTTATCAAGTGCACCGAAGGCTCTGAGACAAACAGTTAATCTTGTTTAACTCAGCCATCCCCATATTTATCCAAACATATAAAAATGACTCATCTACCAACCTCCTAGGGAAGGGTCTCTGGTTTGGAGACTGCTTGTCTAGTCTCTCCATTGGGCTTTTGTGCAAAGTTCCTCATTTCCTACGGAACCTGACCCTGTTGTGTTTTTCTAGGACAACTGCCCTTCTCCTGTCTGTCAGTCATCTGGTGCTGGTGACCAGGAATGCATGCCACCTGACTGGGGGCCTGGATTGGATTGACCAGTCGCTGTCGGCTGCTGAGGAGCACTTGGAAGTCCTTCGAGAAGCAGCCCTGGCTTCTGAGCCAGATAAAGGTCTCCCAGTCCCTGAAGTCTTCTTGCAGGAGCAATCGGCCATTTAGTGCCTGCAACCTAGCAGCTAGCTGTGAGGGCCAGCCTGCTGCTGTCCCTGGGTGGTTCAGCTGAACCCTTCACTTTTGGGTAGAGTTAGTTAGTCTTCTCAGCTCAGGAGTCCAGCCATGAGCGTGTAGTAAAACAGCAGAATTTCGTCCATTGATGCTTTTGTTGCAGTTGCGAATGGTGGCTGGTGAGTGGCAGTCTAATACTACAGTTAGGGGGATGCCGTTTCCCATCTCTACAGCAGAGTGGAAAACTGGTGGGCTGTCAGCTTTATTTAGCTCACCTCATGTTATCAAGGAAATTGAGCCACCATCTGAGAATCAAGGGGTTTCACATTAAAATCAGAATTTCTGGCTTCTCTTAACAATCAGAAGTTGTGGTAGTTCTGATCTGCATCTTCCAAAGCGGACAATCATTAGAACTAAGTAGGGTATGCCTCTTTGGGCAAGACTTGTACTTTCTCACCTGGCCTGTTTTATTAGTTGTATTATCTGCCCGATGCCTGAGTCATCTGGGCTCTCCTTCCCTTGACAGATTGGGGTTTGAAGCTAAGCACTGCAAAGTCGATTATTTCCTTATCACTGTGCCTGTAATTTTACCTCACTACCACTAGGTGGATAGTAAATTTTTACTTACGTTTCCCTTAAGTGTGTAGTTATTGAGTCGAATTCGTGTGCAATGTGTGTGCTTCTCTCACATTTGTCTGAGAACTGAGGGTGCCTTGGTGTGTGTCTCACAATGAGGAACAGTCATTGGCTGCATAATGCCATTTTGGTCAAGGATGGACCTATGAAGAACATATAGCTTAAGCCATGAAGCCTACGTGTGGGGTAGACCATACCATCAGGTTTGTGTAAGTACACTCTGTGATGTTCACACAATGATGAAATTGCCTAACAATACATTTCTGAGAGTGTGTCCCCATTGTTAAGTCATGCATGACTATTTAAATACCTTTCAGAGTTTAGGCAGATGTGAGGAGACCACCATAAAGTAGTTTTCACATCACGGTGGTGTCCCTGAAGGACGTGTTTCCCCTTCTTCTGATACCTGTTTGTTTTGCAAATATTGAAAGATGAAGGGCACTTTTATGACTTAAGATCTTAGAGGAAGATAGAATCACAGATACTGGATCCAGATATACATTCAAATTGTGGAATTCCTTTCCTTTTTTTTTTTAAGAGAGATTTTTGCTATAGGGTGCTTGTGCTCTCCAGAGAAGCAGAGAGACAGAAAGGAAGAATCACCCCTCCCAAGGGGGATGGCCACACCGCAGTCACTTCTCCTCCATTCTCCTCTTGGGATTTTGGGCATGCATGTGCATGTGCCCGGCATGAGTGTTAAACCACTGGGTCTGGGACTCAAACCACAGTCGGCAATATGGGAGTCCAGCAACATAACCATTACGTTCCCAAATTGTGGAATTTCTAACATATATAAATAAGCTTGAAATTTTCCTTGGTTCTCAGAGCCAACCTGGCTCTTGAGAGAGGGTCCTGGCTGGGGCTGTCCTGGTTCACATCCTATGCTGTTAAGCCTGTTTAAATAGCATGTCTCTTTGCATTTCAATTCCTCTGTCCTTAAGTCAGCAAATCCCTCAGCTGATTCTAGTGAACCCATATTCCCAAATCCAAACTTGGGGCCTTGTTTATCCATTGGGCACATTTCATTTGCTTCTGGAAAACAGGCTGCTTCACCCGGGCAGAGTCAGGAGAAGGAAGCTGGTGCTCCACTCTTTTGGACTGCAGGGTCGATTCCAGGGGACCCTGTTAGATTGTCCACCCTCGTCAGCCTGGAAGCTTTGTTACATAGCTCACTTTCCTGTCCTATTGGCAAGCTACGAATGGGGGTTGGCCACAGTCACTTCGACTGGTATTTTCATGGCCTCCACGAATAACCACAGTCCTCTTGTTTTTGTTGTTTTATCTCCTACTTAAAGCCACCCCTTTCGATCCTGGAGTAGGAACACTAGAAGCAAGTTCTAATGAAGAAGCACATATTCAGGGATAGGAATTTGGTGTGAAAAGAAGATATTTGAAGTCAGAATTAGGTTCCTCTTTGGTCTCAGTCATTTACTGCATAAGCTTGGACAAATCACTTAACCTCTCTGGTCCTTAGTTTCTCATCTACAAAACCAAGGCTGCTGCCTCATTGGGCTGGTGTGTCAATCAAACACAAGTGTGTGTGTGTGTGCGTGTGTGTGTGTGTGTGTGTGCATGTGTAATGCCCAATAGCATCACCAGTCAGTGTTAAGCCTTTTTTCTCTGGCCCTGATGCAGCTGACCTAGACACCATCCCCTCAACGACGGCGGCTTTGTCCAAGCAGGGTCTTCCGTCCATTGACCCTGAAACGTACTAGCCCAACACTGCAGGAGGGAGCTCAGCCTTGTCCCTGCCTTGTCCCTGTCTACCGCAGATGTATTCACCTCAGGCAAGACATTTGAAGCTCTTGGTCTCTTATCAGTGTCCCAGGCTTGATTGCGCAAGCTCACATTCCTGCAGAGAACTGCCTAGGAACCTATTCCAGCCTGTGAACTCTCTTACCCTGGCTCCCCCGACCTGCCTTGTTCTAGGAGTGCCTTCTCTGTAGAGACGCTTTGTGCCCACCAGAGCCTTGTCTTTAGGAAATGGCTTACCACTCTAAGGTCCAGAGTTGCTCTATCACCTTGGAAATTTGGGGAAGGTGTCCTGTGAAGAATTTCCCTCCAGGGACCAGCAGTTAGCGTAATGGCTATGTTGCTGGACTCCCATATAGTCGACTGTGGTTCGTGTCCTGGACCTGGTGGCTTAAAACTCACGCCAGGCGCGTGTGCGTGCGTGCCCAAGATCTCAAGAGGAGAGTGGAGGAGAAGGGATTGCGGTGTGGCCATCCCCCCTGGGGGGTGACTTTTCGCTTTCTGTCTCTCTCTGTCTGTCTGGCGAGCACACGCGCCCTATAGCAAAAACCTCTCAAAAAAAAAAAAAAAAGAAAAGAAAAGAAAAACAGCAGGAAATCCCATCCACTCCTCCCCTCCCCCACACTCTTCCTCTGTGCTCTCCCTCCTTCACTCCCTTCCCTCCCTCTCAATTCCTCCCTCCCTCCCACCCAGTGTACCAGAGCTTACTCTGGGGGAGGAGTTGTGCTGAGTGCCTGGGAAATGGAACAAAAGGCACAGCCCCACCCTTTAGGGGCAAGAGGGAAGATAAACAGAGGGTAGAACCACAGCCTAGGCAGAGCTGTGAGGAGGGGACCCCAGAAGGGGTTGTGGGGTCACAGCAGGGAATGGCGGGGGTGTGGGGTGTGGTTGAGATAGCCAGGGGAAAAACCAGGAAGGAGGTAATGCCTGAGTCTAGACTTCACAAAATGGGCTGGAGAGGAGACCTGGGCAGACAGGACAACATGAGAAAGATCCAGTGCCAAGAGAGCCTGGCAGATTTGGGAAATAAACGCAGGTGCCTGGGGAGGGCTGGAGAATGGGACGGGAGGGTGCCAGATCATGGAGGACCTTATAGGTCACATTAGAGAGCCAGAGCTTTATCCTGAGCATGGTGGGGACTGCAGGAAGTCTATGCAAGACAGTGACTGTCAGATTTGCAACTTACAAGATTGTTGACTTCATACCCTATGACAGGCTTCAGAACCATCGCCTGGCCTGATGTCCCTGAGTATGTTCTCCTCCACCCGGAGTCTGAGAGGCTCAAGACTGATCCTGATATAAAGGCAGAGTTGACAGCCTGTTAGGAATGGGGAAAAGGGGCCAGACTTCGTGACAGAACACTTCCCAGGGGAGTGACGTGTTTGGCCTGCGTCTGCTTCTGGTGGGCACTTTCCACGTTTCTGTGCCCTGCCGATCAGCAGAACCGAGTCTTTCCTGTCTCATCCTACCTGTATTTTTATCATCCCCTTTTACAGATAGGGACACCAAAGCCTGGGGATCAGTAACTTTCCTGGACTTGCAGAGTTAAGAATCAGAGCAGGAATTTCAGCTGCCTGATTATGGTTTTTACCCACTACTTCCTGCCCAGGTGTTTGATTCGGGGGGGGAGGGGGAAAGGAGGGAGAGGAAATCCATGAAGGAAAAGAAAGAACAGATAAGAAAATCCTTCTCTTCTAGTTCTAATACTTTTTGTTAAAAAAAAAAAAAAAAAGAAGAAGAAGAAGAGGTAATTGTGACCTGTGAATTAATTTCATAGCCAGCTAATTGGCTACAACCCACAGGCTGATAGAACACTGATGCTAAAATGAGGGCCAGGGCATGGGTGAGGTGTTATCTCTCCATCCAGAATGACTTAATTTTATTCGTTTTTAGTAAAACACATTTACCAGAATAGTGGCAAAAATTGATGGTGCGAAATAGAATAATTAATTTATTCCATGATTGATTCGTTCGAGGTGTCCATTGAGCCTCCATACTGGATTCGGTCCAGAGATAAAGGAATGAATAAAAATATAATGCCTCTCTTGAGGCACATCTACACTAAGGTGGAAGTCAACCCAGAAAGAGTCCTGTTTGACACCGTGTGGCAAGCGCTAAGTAAAGGACGTGCATGTAATGAGAGCGCAGGGCAGGAGTGCCAAGCCCAGCTCATGAGCGTTTTCTGAAGGTGGTGACGTCTTAGAAATGTCAAGGATGAGTCGGTGTTAGAAGACCCGGTGGAGTTGGGGAAGGTGGCAGTAGAGGGGACAGAACATCCAGGAGGGGCAATCTGTGTAGACATGACCTTCCATACTGTGCCCAGGACATTACAGCTGACTCAAGTGGGCACTGGGGCATGGTGGAAGATGATCTGGACAGGGAGGCAAGGACTTGATCCTGGAGAATCTTGCTGAGGACTTTGGACTTTTCCTCCAGGTGCAGGGAGCTATCCAAAGTCAAAGTACTTCCTTACTTTTTTCTGGGAAGTTTGCAAATGATCACTGTGCCCTGGCAGGCAACCTTTTCTGTTATCCTCATTTGATAGTTGAACAATGTCTTAGTGTTGTGTTAATTTGCATTTCCCTGAGTCGTGGTGCTGCTAAAAACTTTTCCATGTGTTTATTAGCTATTTGTATTTATTTGTAAGCCTTTTGCCCATGTTTCTACTGGGATTTTAACTGTTTTTAATCAATTTGTATGAGCTCTTTATATATTAAGGATAACAACCCTTTGTCATATTTATTGCATATATTTCCCCAGCCTTGTCATTTGCCTTTTAATTTTGTTTAGAATGGTTCTGACATCCAGAAGTTTTAAATTTGATGTAGTCAAATGTATTGATTTTTCTCTCTCTTAGTGATTTCTTTCATTGCTTTCATGCTTAGAAAATCCTTTCTCATCCAGAGATCAAATAAATATCATTGAAATGTTTGAAGCAGCAAAGTGCCATGAGTTGATTAATAATCATATTCACAAGCTGGATGTGCTGGCAGGAAAAACAAAAACAAAAACAGGGTAGAAGAAATCAAACCTTCCTTGATTTGCCTCAAACCCAGCTCAAGGTTAAAAGTGGAAGCAGGATAAAGATGGGGACAAGAGAGCTGAGGGCAGGTGGGGAAAGTCTTGAAGGACTAGCAGGAAGTGGTCAAGGGGGCAGGCTGGGTGGGTGTAGCTACATGCCCTAGGAAGACTTGAACAAACATTATCTGAGTGCTGGGGATACAGGACAGAGAAAAAACAATTTCTGCCCT